TTTTTTGCCAATGCCCGTGATGCCGCCCCCCACCACGATGCCGCCCCGGGCAACCGCCCGTGTCGCCCGTATCTAAAACCGCTACTGCACTGAATTGTTGTAATCTGTAGAGGTCCGGTTTGCCAATATATATACGAGCCGGAAATTCATTTATGGTCTTAGGGTGCCATCTAGTGACATATAGCCCGACGGGCGGGGCTGAGATAAATTTTGGTCGCCCGACCGGAGATATCGCTAGCTCCGGGATGTCGGGCTAGCGATTTTGCGAGCCCTGCCATGTGCTCAGCACGCAGAGGGAGAGTGGGAGTCTAAAGGAGCAGCGGCAAAGCATAGCAGTTGTAACACCGTTTTGTGTGATTGATTGTGTGTTAATGAACCTGTAAGTGTTATTCCCTTGAACAGATTCATTGGTATGATAATGGCTATAGTTGTTTGTGCATGTTAAAGTTATGCCTCAGCATATTAATACCATGTTTGTAGGATTATTTAATTATTTAGTACTCAGTACTCAGGCCAGAATCTCCCATGATGATTACATCCAGCATTTAAAGGACTTTTCTATTGTTTATTGTTTAGTTTAGCAGTTGCTAGCTTGCCATTTTCTTGCCTCACTACTAGTCACTTATAAGGCATGTGCCATTTAGCCAATTTATGGTCTGCAGTGACCTCTTGTGGACATTATAAAATATTACTGTGTCGAGTAAATGATGTGATTGTTTTCTTACTTATCTTCGACTCTATTAATTACAGAATTGCCTTCATCTCCGTGTCTTAATTGAATTGGACTGCACAGAGTTGCAGTCCAAAGAAGAGAGATCATCCAGACCAGGCTATTCCAAAACATGTCGGCCAAATGTATGATCAATTAAATTTTCATTAAAAAATAAATAAAAAACAAAACAGCAAAACATCTGAGTCACAAACAATTTGATATTTAAAGTCCATCAGGCATTTTCAGAAGAATCAGAGGCTACAGATTTAATTAATCCTCTCAAAGTGGTGTCTGTCCTGTATACTTTATTTAAGGTCTTCCTAAAACACCTAATTTTAAGTACACAAAAAAGGAATAGCAAGCACAAAAACAAGAACAAAAAACAAAACATGGAAAAGCAAAGACATGACAGAGAACACTTTGTGAGAAATGAGAATCTGAGTTATAACAAAATTTGTCTAACATCTCCGCAGCAAATCAAGTTCCTGTTCTTCTGGAGTCCTAGTTCGTCTTTTACTGTAATCACATGACATTTTTGTAACATACTGTGGGAAGTAATTACAATAATTACATTACAGCTATAACTATGTCATTACTTGTGTTAATAAAAGTCCTTCAGTTACCTGCACGCCAGGCAGACATAAAGAAAAAAAATCAAACAAATACATTTTTTTCCTGTGCACTTGCTCTACAGGGAACCAATTTCAGTTAATGTGCTGTGAAGAGGATGACGCTGGTACAGTGATACAGCTTTTCAGCATAGGACATTTGGGCATTAATTGATTTTTATTGAACTAAAGGAAAGGAATGCAACATTAACATCTGTGAGAGTTATTAGCACAATGCTACTGCAGGAAACCTATTCAAATGTTCAGTTTATTCAACCTTAAAAAAAAAAAACACCAGGTGGTTAATGTTCCTGTCAGCATCAAGACAGCCATTTGAGACAGCCATACAGGCTATACAGTATTAAATAATAATACTACTAATAATAATAATTAATGGTGGTAAATAGTAATGCTTTAGCACAGTGGTTGTCAAACTTTTTCTGACATGCCCCACTGTACAAAGGAAAAATTAAATGAATGAAATTAAATAATTTAAAAAAGTTTAGTGTCCACATCAAGGAGTTTGTAATTAGTTAAGTAATTAATTACTCATTAACAAATCAAAAAGGTACAAGATGAATTTTAGTTCAAAGTCAGCATTAACCTCCTAAGACCCGAACTCTTCCACGTCATGCATTTTTAATTTCTCTTTGATATTTGGGCTGATTGGGACCCGATGAATGTAAAAACAAAGAATTACCAGATATTTTTTTTAACCTGATTTTTATTTCTAAGAAAAATGAAAGCCACATATGAAGATATTTGTTTAAAATTTTGATAGAACAGTGGCAGTATAATGTCCTCATAAGTGGATATCAGGCCCTTGTAGAGCAAAAATTAGTATTTTGGTCTAAATAAATGCGATGTCCACATATGTGGACGCCAGGTCCTAGGAGGTTAAAAGCCGACTTTTCCAGAGAAATTAACTAGGCTTTACAAAAAAAAAAACAAAAAAAAAAGTTTTTTCCATGATGCTTCATGAGTGGGGCCATGTTCCAGCTTGAGAACCACTGTTATCATGTACGGTGCATGGATATACTTTAAAAATGAAAACATTTTTAATGATCTTACTTTCTGAAAAGGTTTAAAACCATAAAGTGTCATGTCTTCATTTTTAGGTTTAAAGGAAAGAAAAAAAAATCTGATGAATAATATATACTGTATGTATGTAGAGTTAAAATACACATGTAAGCGTTGCTAATGCTAACAATGATTAAAAATTTATGTAACTAAATTTACAATATTCAGCAGTATGCAGGAAAAAGGCAAAGAATATCTTTACATCCATTACTAAATCTAAAAACAGATTTAGCAACAAGATCCAGACAAGATGAGTCAGCAGTTTCTATCCTAAAATATAAATAGTATAAAACAACACGCTGCTGTGGCCCCCTTCAAGCTTGTTTGTAAACAGCAGTTAAATATGCAAATTAACCTTTTACAAAAGTGAAGCAGCTTAATACAAAAACTTTAGGCAGTACCAGAATACACTTCTAAAAAGTATAAAAAGAGGTATTGTTTTGTAGCAATTATTAATAGCTGCAGTTTGCTTGACTATTTAAAACTGTAAAAAGTTTTATACTGAAACATTCACATAAGTACCATCATGACCAGTGAGACAATGAAAACTGTGAATCAACAACACTAGAACATTAACCCCCCGAATTCAATGATAATAATTTAGAATAAGCCCTTAACACATGAAAACATAGAATATAATTAAAATTTTTCTTTCAACTTGACATCACGCTAACATCCTCACACAATACGCCCACCTTCTGATCTATCACATAATATTTCAGTCTATGACAAATCTGGTGGGAAAAAAATCGAATCATAAAACAATGAATGTTTGTTAATTAGCAATAAATTTCATAAATCCATGTATGAAGTGTGACTTTATAGACTGGTCACTGCTCTCCACCTACAGCAGCTGGAGTTACAAATCGTTAACAAAGCTTGTTTTGCCTGAGTGGACATTTTAGAAAACCTTTCTCATTATGTATGATACTCAACATAGTACACTGCTCAAAAAGGAACACTTGATTATCACCGTATATCACAAACCAGTTTTAGCACCTGATCCACGTAACACTGGACCACTATGGCCCCTCCAGCAGGTGATGGGTTCACTGGAGTAACTGGGGTCAGCCAGGACCCATGAATAATGGGTGTTTCCAAAAATAGCTCCTTGACTAAGTTTGGCCTGATGAACGGGCCCTGGTAACCAAGATTTTGTCAAGTAACTTCTCATCATCGAACTCTTTTGAATCACACTTGGTCTGGCCCTTTACCCATGAACAAATTGTCTTGGGAGACCCTAGCAGGGACAAACTGTCCCCGACAACATAGCTCCTGGGATCAGAAGGACACGCAAACCCCTTTACCGCGATAAGGTGGTGATTCATGAAGGGGGATGTAGGGAATACTTCTTTCCTACACCTGGACAAATCTTTGCTTTTACTTCTGTATCAATTGGTTACTCTTGCTGATCAGTCGCTGTTTTTTATTATTCCTCACACTGCACATTATGACAAAGAGCGAAAATAGGAAGATAACATCGAACTAATAACTTATTACGTGTGTGAATACTATAAAATCATAAATAGCTTGTTTAATTTTCTCAAACTTTTCTTTCCTGCTGAAGCAGACTTTTAAACTGCAGTGTGTTGAGTACCACCACAGAATTTCCAGCATTTTAGTGTGTATGCTTTGGTGTTCTGTTCTAGTTTCACATTAAACATTGACCAGCATGTAATCTAAGTTAATACAGTCATTAAGATTAATGATTAATGAGAGAAATGTGACCTTTGTAACTATACTCTCCTGTAAAATGCTATAACGTACTGCTTTTTACAGTTAAATTAAAAAATTTCAAGGGTGAAGACCTTTGATTTTCTTCAAATTAATGAAAAAAACAAAACGAAACAACCAATAATTCAACACAGTAACAAAACCTCACTAAGATTTTTTAAAATATGTTTTTTTTTCTTTCAAATTTCTTTGTATGTTGCTTTATGTTAGATTTCCAAGCAAAACATCTGCCGTGCACTAACAAGGGTGGGGCTCTATTTTTCAAGTGTTATGTACTATATATGGTAGTCAGACAGTGTGCTTCACTTGACTGTTTGTGCCGTCTGAACCTATTGTCTGTGTGAGGCTCTGTGGTGTACTGATAACACTGATAACACTGTTTTAAACAGAAGCCCTGTGGGTTGAAATCCTCAGTAGCTTAACGGCTTGTGTTATCAGGAGATGTAAATGTCACAGAAAAACTGCCATTCATATTAGCCAGAGCTGGTATGTCAAGGTAGAACATAAATGCCATGGCAGTACAAGAAAAAGCAAAAAAAGAAACTTCATTAAAAACTAAGACATGATAAACAAAAGTGGGGCAGAGAGATAAACGGACACCAAGTACCTCCACCTGTTCTTCATCTGTTCATTTAGTAGCTGACTCTAGAATGACATGTTGGTCGAGCATTCAGTCCAGATATTGCTCATCCTTTGCTTCCACAGCTGTCACAGAGATTACTGAAGTAAACAATATAAGAGAATTTGTTTAAAACGGCATGTAATTTCATCTGAACATGCAAAGACTTTCATGTATCTGCATATTAAAAAAAACAAAAAACTCCTACAATATTCAATGCACACATTAATAATTAAAAAGATTTACTTTTGAAGAAGGGCAGATTTAATAAAATTACTTGTACAAAACTAAAACTACAAATATATCTGCAATAACTGCATAACATAATTTTACATTAAAGTAAACAGCGCCAAAATATTTGGAAAGAGAAATTTAATTTTGACTGGAACAAAAATGAAAACAACAATGGCACATTTCAATGAATTAACTGTTACTGACCTCCATCTGATGTTGTTCTTGTTGCGCTGCACTGTTACCAGCTGGTTCATTTGTTGGGACACGCCGCCAAAAAAATGTAAACCTACGCCTGGAATTTTTGGGACAATAATTCAAAATGTTCAGTTTCCCCTCCAACACCACCGCAATAGATTTGAAATAAAACAAACAAGTGCATGAATAACCCGACGTTAAAAGACAGATACCCAAATATCCAAAACAAAGACAAATGGCAAACGAGGAGCTTGTCCGAAGAAGTGCATCATGTATTGTCTGGAAACACTTTTGATTTTAGAGCGATGCAGTAATTTAGGTGCATCACCTGAGACAGTACAATACAACTTTTTTTAATAAAAAAAAAAAACATCACTCAATACTCATTAAATAATCATATTCTCCATATTGATTGAAATCATTGAGATTAACATTTTATGAGACTAAATTCACTGTGTTTTAAAGAGGATATGTACTTCTCAGATTATCCTTTTTTATGTTTCCATCCTTTTCCTTTCTACTATTTTGGTACCAGATTTACTTAGTTTCATCTGTGGAAAAAACATTGTTTACAAGCTAGTCTTCCGTTTCCCTCTCGCTAAATGAAATCTAGCCTAAAATGTCTATTGTAACACGCTAACTAGTACACTTTTTTTGCCCCACAGAAAGTATCAAAATTGCCAATTAGGCCATTCCTATATAAATAAAGACATATACTCTACTATACTTCAGTTTGGACAGTAGGTCCACATGCTTTAAAGCCAGGTCTACTAAATATTATTCTACATATTGGATACATGCAAGTTAATGTATGAAGTACCTTTGATCTTCATGTGTATAAAAGTACCATACTGCAGCCCCAACGATGCTCAGGAAAAAAACACATATAAAAACACCAAGTAAGGCCCATGCAGCAGAGCACGATCCTGCAGGGACACAAGAATGAAGAATATAATGAGGATTACATTATCTGGCATTTATGTTTTTTGTTTCATATTTAGATGACTCAGACAATACTTAAACATATAACATACACAAATCAAACATGTAGCTCGTGTAGGTTGAGGGCAGGTTAACAATGATCACTTCTGGTACTGTTGGTCAAAAATGTTCTGGCAAAAACTTTTCTAGTCTTGGGTGAAGATAAAGGAAGAGAAAATGGTAAAAGTGTGAGAAAGCTGTCTGATACAGTTCGGGAAAAGAAATGAACTGTCTCTAATTTTTATGGTAGTTTCATTTTAATGGTAAGAGACAAAATATCAACCTGAAGTCCAGAACAAATAGCCAGATTTCTGGTTTCAACGGCCTGAACTGAAGAAACCACAGAATTGGTTCCTTCTTTTCCAACTCCGCACCAGACCAAAGAGCTATCAAAGGACATCATGGACAAGACTGTAGATCTGCTGTAATGGATTACAAGGCTATCAGCAAGTAGTTCAGTGAGAAGGTGACAACTGCTGGTGTGAATATTTGGAAAAGGAAGAACTATAAAATGACCATCAATTGCCCTCAGCCTGGAGCATGACAGTAAGTAAGATGAGAGGTGAGCAACAGTATGGCTTCATGGCAAAGAGCACTACAGATGTTTTCTTTCAGAGTGTTGATGGAGAAGTACAGAAAAGGCCAGCAGGAGTTTCATTGGGTCTTTATGGATCTAAAGAAAGGATATGATAGGGACCCAAGAAAGAAACTTATACTGCATGAGGAAGTCAGGAGTGGCAGAGAAGCATGTGAAGGTGTTGCAGAACATGTATGAGGACAGTGAGACAGTGAGATATGCGACAGAGATGACAGATGGGTTTAGGGTGGTTGTGGGAATACATCAGGGATCAGCTCTGAGCCCCTTTTTGTTTCCAATGGTAATGGATATTCTGACAGATGAGGTCAGACAGGAGTCTTTTTGGACTGTGATCATTGCAGACAACAGTGTGATCTGTACTAAGTGACGCAGGGGAGGAGTTGGAAGTCAACTCAAAGAGATGGAGGTATGGACTGAAGAGAAGATATGTGTTAAGAGAATTTTTATTTTAGTTAAATCATTAAAGTATAATCAAGTAGAAACAAGTATGCCTTATAATCAAGTGTTTATATATTTTCACACGG